AATCTATTATCCATTTGTTAGCAGTTGTTAAAACCAACATCTGTCTGCACAAATACATTTTTTCAAGAAAAAAGAAAATAGTCAATTTACACAGGAAGCATAGACAGTTTTAAATTCAAATCAATGATTAGTGAGAGAAAATATGTCAGCTTTACTCATTTTCTTCATTATTCTGATTACTTATTCTATACAAATCATTTAACATACAGAGTTAACTTTTAAATCTTTATCACAGAGATATTTTTACTTTCTATTAAAAGAAATACTAGTCAAAACTATGTTCTTAATGCCTTTAGTCACCTGGTGACTAAATTGCCTCTTCCTTTCTGAATGTTCTTCTTTATTTTCTCCTTCAAACAGGAGATAGAACATCTGGACCCCATTTATGCAGCCTTATTCAACTTTCACTAACCTTGGAGATTGTGGTTTTGGAATAAAAGTGGGCTTCGTTATACCATGCTTTAGTAGGAACCCTTCTAAGTATAAGTTGTAGAAAGCCAGCTGTTTGTTTGTTTGTTTGTTTGTTTGTTTGAAGCAGGAAGTGGTAATGGTTGGAATTCATGGCTTATGTAACAAAGTTAGGTACTATAATGTGGAGATCAGGTTGAACTTCAAGAATGAAGGGACTGCTTCTCTGCTGTCATCACCTACAGAGATTGTCTCAGTTAAGAGAGCCATCTTCCTTAGATCCTTCAGAGTCATCCTGGCTTCAGGTCTCCTCATAGTATAGCTGGGGACTTAATTGTGACCATAAAATAATTCCACCTCTCCTTCTGCTTTCTTATCTTTCCTTACTTTCCTTGGGTGTTTGTTTATCTCCGAAAGTACCTCCTGAACATTAATCTCCCTCTCAGACTCTACTTTTCAAGAAACCCAATTATAAGAATAACTGAAATGTCCAAGTGTCTCAGGCAGATCAGACCTGAGAACTCAAACATTGTCATCATATTCGTCTCTAAACCTCTCCATTTTTCCCCAGCTACTGATTGTTTTTTGTTTGTATTGGCATAATTCTTCGGCAGTTTCTTAGCACAAGGTAATAGAGATGATCTATGACAACAGTAGGCATACATCATTGACAAAGAGAGAACAGTTTCAGCATCCCTAACAACCCACTCCTCAAGCAAATAACTTTAATTGGCCTTATTTGGATCAAGTGCCCACTCCTGGGAAAATCACTGTGTCCAGTGATATGAAGTCCTTTCATTGGTCACCCTTAGGTGAGGAAAGCAGGGCCACATAACTTATAGAAGCATATAGAGTGACAGCATGGCAGTTCTAGAAAGAACAGCATGTATAGCAAAGATGAAAGGAACAGAAATCCATTTTTTTTCATCACCAGGAACAAAACTCATTGGAAATCTTGGTGTAGTAACCTCTCTTTCTTCAGCAATTTCACACATCCTTCTTGAAATAAATTAGGAGCCTAATTTTTTAATTTGAGAAATCAAGAAGGAATTATACTCAAGATGCAAAGTCAGGAATTTCCTGGAGACTTGCATTTGCTTCTCCCTTTTTTCTCGGCCAGAAGTGTTTAGGATTTCAGTCACAAGCGAGAAGATGTTGGTCCATACTGCCACCTGGAAGGTGGCATTCACCACAGTCTAGCTTAACAGTAACCACTTAGGAGACAATGGAAGACAAAATGGCAGAGAAAATAAATTGTTAGCTAATGCATAGAAGTTCAATTTTCTTCACTCTTCATGTCCAGTCAATACCAGTCAACCAATACCTGTTTCTCTTTTATCAAACTCTCTGCCTGTCTTTTCAATAGCAGTGCGCATTACAATTTACTAGACTGGTGTCCTCAAAAAGAAAGTCACTTTCCATAAAAGAAAGATTTTATTCTTTATTGCAATGGGTTTTTCTTCTTCCAGCTGTGAAGCTGATTGAGGTTCTTAAAGCTCTCAAGACATCTCTATTCACAGCCCTGTGATGACTTTTATAAAGGAGAAGAGAAAAGCAATAAGAGAGAGTTATTGATTACCCAGGGAAAATATTCTGGTTTTTAAAAAAAAATTTTTTTTCTCAAATTGTGGAGGGGAAGGGAGTTGAAAAATGTTCCAAAATAGGTTTATGTGAAAAGAAGGACTTTATTTCCTATTAAATGTCTATTCATGGCCCCCTTCCCATTGCTTCTACAGCACAGTGCAGGTCTCAGGAGGTAGATGAAAAAATGGGGGAGATACTTGAAGATCTAGATGAGATAAGAGAAGATAGACTAGTAGTATGGGAAAGAGAAAAGGGGGAGAAGTAGAGAGGAGAAGACTTTGGTAAGTTTCAAAGCTCGGTGTAGCAGTAGTCATCCCTACAAAAGAGTTTTAGAGTGCCCTAGATAGAAAGAACATATTTTTAAGGTGTTTTATTACTCATTATCCATATATGACTCAGTTCTTTAACTAAATGAGAAAATGAGTACATATCTGAATTACTTTTTTTTCAGGCAAAGTGCAATCGGAAGCCACCATATTTCAACAGAAGGAATTTTCATATGAGGAATCTTTTACATGGATGATGGGAAAGTGGAAAATCCCAACATGGGTGTAGAGGCAACATAATATTAATAAGTACAGGAAGTGGTTACAATCTTATTCAATCCTAGAAGCCAGTACCACCTGGCAGGAGCTAGAACTACAGTGACAATGGCTGCAGAGAGCTCATGCGCAGAGACAAAGCCTGACTGGTGAGAGCTGGAGCCTCAGTGAAAATGCAGCCACTCCAGAGACGTCACTTGAAACAGAAAGCCAGGGGGGAAAAAACCCTGGCTTCTCTTCTGCTTCTTATCCTCCAGCTGGACTGAACATACCGGAAGCCAGAGCCTGAGGAGCCTGGCAAATGCAATTCCTTCTGAAACAGAACAGAGCAAGGAAAGGGTAGGGAATAGATCTCAAAGCAGACACGAATAACCAGCACATGTTTTGATTGTCTGTGTTTTTTTGAATTCATCTGCATGGAATGGAACCATGAAGCCAGTGGTCCTTTATTTGGGTTACATTTGTCTGAGAACAATGGAGAAGGTCACAGCTGAGTATGAGATATTGTCTCATACCTGTCAGAATGGCTATCATCAACAAATCAACAAACAGCAAGAGCTGGTAAGGATGTGGGAGAAGAGAACTCTTTTACACTACTGGTGGGAATGCAGACTGATACAGCCACTGTGGAAAGCAGTATGGAGATACCTCAAAAAATTAAAAATGGAACTGCCTTATGACCCAGTGATCCCACCTCTGGGAATATATCTGAATGAACCCAAAACACTAATTCAAAAGAACATAAGCACCTCCATGTTCATTGCAGCATTATTTACAATCACCAAGATATGGAAGCAGCCCGAGTGTCCATCAGTAGATGAGTGGATAAAACAACTGTGGGACATTTACACAATGGAATACTACTCAGCCATAAAAAAGAAAGAAATCTTACCCTTTGCGATAGCATGGATAGACCTGGAGAACATTATGCTAAGTGAAATAAGCCAGTCTGAGAAAGACAAATGCCATATGATTTCACTCATATGTGAAATCCAATGAACAAACTGAACTAACAAGGACAATGGGGACAGACTCATAGACGGAGAGCAGGATGACATCTCAGGAAGGGTGGAGATGAGGAGTTAGAAGGATTGAGCAAAAAGGAAAAAGGCCTTATATACATGGACAACAGTGTGGTGATTGTGGGGGGAGGGGTAAAAGGGGACTCAAAAGTAATGAAAAATGCAATAAAGATTAAATTAAAATAAAATTTTAAAAAATAAAGTAAAAATAAAAAATAAATACTAAAAATGAAAAATAATACTACTTTACTAATTGTCACCATTCTGGAGGCTGTCTCAAGTTGTTTGTAGACAACAACCAAAAGAGTTCATAGCTCTCCTTCTCTTTTTACTTCTCGTTCTCCTTTGTTCCTCCTGTTTCTTCTTTTGCCTCTCTAGTAAGTACAGCTGTTGTACAACCACCCTTCTGCAATTAGTCAAGTTAGATCTCATAGTGGGCTTGCCATCCTGCCATCTATTCCTTTTGTGTCCTGAAGACTAGGTAGTAGTCAGGAAAAATGCGAAATCTTGGTTTTGGAATCTACCACATCTGACCTACTTTTGTTCTGACCCTGTTTACATACTTGGCCTAGAGGATGTCATATCTGCCTGAAAATAATATAATCATCTTAACATTTTGGTATATTTGTTATATTTTCATTTCCTGTACTTGTATTTGGAGTGATTTTGGATGGGGTTGTCATAGTCAGACTTTTTTTCTAGTAACACGGTTAAAAGTATAGCCAAATTCCTTGTATTTCAAATCCCAGCTCCACTATTTTTTAACTGCGTGACCTTTGTCAACTAAACTGCTCTGGGTCTCAGGTTCCTCATCTGTAAATGTAATCCTAATAATAGAACCTATGTTATACGGGTTGAATTGTTATAATCAAATGATTTACACATACTGAATTTATATATGTGTGTGTCTTTGTGTACATCAATATGCACATATATATGTGTGCATCTATATATAATGTGTGTACATATACACATGCATACCTTAGAAAATTGGCACAATGTAATCATTCTATAAATATCAACAGTCACTATTGTTATTATTTTTCTCAATACAACTGAAAATGCTGCTTCAGACTGTCAAAATATATCACACCTATTTAATGTTTTTCACTCAGCATGAAGACATGGCTAGTTGGGTGACTTTTTAAAAATTTCTAATTCATAACCGATTAGTCAAAAAAGTTAATTGACTGTGTAAAATACGTCCAATGAATTACACTATTATTTGTCTATCAATGGCAGAAATTAGTTTCATTCATTTCCTACTCTACTTAGTTGTGATTAGATCATTATAGACTCTTTTTCTGTAGTTCTTTTGTGGTTCAAAGATTGAATTTTTTTTTCATGAAAACAAGCTTTTCAGTTGACCAATGATTAGCTAATTTCTGATAGTAGAAAAGGAAACAGATTGCCCCAAAGGGCTGTTTTCATTTCCTCACAGGCAGAAGCAGCACAGCAGAAAAGAAAGGCTGACACAAGAGAGTAAACCTTTGCCACCATGGGGAACTGGGCTGTGAATGAGGGGCTCTCCATCTTCGTCATTGTAAGTACACATGAGAGATATATTTTGAATTCTCTGACTTGTCTGCGTTCCCGGGAACTAAAATGGAACAAAGGTTTTTGTTTGTTTTATTTCTTTGATATATTTGTTGAAACTGATTTACTGTGTTAACATGCATCCATTTGTGAGCTGACTGAGTCAATTCTTCCAGACTGACTCTTGGAAAAAATGTAACCATGGATTACTTTCACCTAATTTATTTCTTGAGTTTTTAAGAGTACTAAATTATCCAGCATTTCACAGAGGGAGCAGAAGACATTTCATGCTAATGATCACTGAGTCTGAGTTGTTTATTAATGTTTACTCCAAGGCAAATTTCTATGTTTTATGCATTTATACCACTTAAAAAATGGGCAATTGAAATTTTATATGATTTTCCAAATAACAAGTACAACAGGGCCTCACGTGTGGGAAATTAACCTTTATATCAGTAATTACACAAAAAAATGATTAACCTCATCTTTTTTTGTAAAGTGCCTTCTTATCTCTGAGGTAAGTAATTTATAAAGTTTATAAAAATTCAAGGGAAGGGAATTGAAATTAGATATATAGACTCATATACAGTGTATATTAATATATATTATATATGATTACATAAAAATCAATTAATATATCTTGGGAAACAATTTTTGTATGTAAAAATAGGGCTAATTTTCCAATTGATAAGTTGATTTCTTTAGTTTTTAAAATAACAGAGATCAACTATTATTTTACAATGTTGGTCTCAGCAAAGCAATCATGGACAATTGAGAAGATAGAAATGTGATTTATAACTAGCCTTTCCAAATATTCAATGAGAGCATTATATAGATGTTAAGGAGAATTCATAAATTGAACCTTTGAAAGAATTTATCATGAAGTAAATATTGAGTCTTTGAGTTTTCAAGATAGGGAGAAATTAGTGGTACAAATATATTTGAAACAACACATATTTTCTAATTTAAAAAATATGTCAAACCAACATTCTAATGTATATAGAATTCTTCTGAGGACTCAGAGCCATTAATTTGAGTTATCACCATTTTATGAACAGGTTGCTCCTGTACAAAATAAGTTCAAATTACACTTTTAGACCTCACCACAATTTTCCCCAGGAAATGATTTCCTTCTAAATTATGCACTCACATACTTGAAAATGAAGGCATAGCTTGAAAAACAAGAATAAGAATGACAAGGCTAGGAAATAAAGAAGCAGCTTCTTTTTAAAGAGAGACTTCTCAAGCATCTGTGGACATATAATAGCTTCAAAGCACAGTTAAGAAAAGATTACTATGGAGCTGAAGGTAGAAGACTGGACAGTGTCATTGCTTGATACAGTCAGTGCTTCCGATGAAATAAGCAATCACAATCTAGAAAGGTCTATTTTTTTAAAAAAAATCCCCTGCCCCTTATGCGGCCATTTAAGCTCAATAACGCTCCTTCAAACAGTAAGGAAAACTTACCAAATAGAATTAAAGCAGTGATTTTCAACCATTTTCATCACATGGCACACATAAACTAATTACTATAATTCTGCAGCATACCCAAAAATACATTATGCTTTTTGGCCACTATGACAAAAAAAAATAGGTATAATTTTTATTCATTCACACCAGATGGCTATTGTTGCGTTGGCTATCGTCTTTTTATTTGACAGTCTAAGGGAAAAGAGGTCAGTGCCCCTGACTAAATAGTCAGGTATTGCATGTTTTAAAGTTTTTTTACCACACACTGGTTGAAAATCTCTGAATTAAAGGCTTGACATTTTAGCTGATGAGACTCCCACTAGCTATGGTGGGATGCTGCGTGGTGGAGGGAGTTGATTGGCACCTGTGAAAGTAGAACACAGCGTCCTACTGGTGTGGGGGAAAACATAACAACATATCAACATATCTCTTTACCTTCTTTTTCTAAGAAGAGTCAAGTGCTATCATTTATCTAAGTTTAAGAAAAAAGATGATGTGAAATAAGGGGTGGGGGAGATAGATTGATAATAACTTGGCATAGTGGCCAAGTAGTAACACAATCCTGTGGAATGACACAGGGTGGAAAGACCAATTACAGAGAAGTAAGTTACTGCCCTAGGAAAGAGTTAGCTCTAAGATGGTTACACCCATCTTTGCAACCACCTGTGTCAAAGGGTGGACTTGGGGAAGTCCTAACCTTGGTCTGACACCAATATTTTGTGAAATCCATCTGTTGAAATATGAAAACTTCATGCAACTGTTTCTGTTTTTGCAGCTGGTATGGCTGGGGTTGAACGTGTTCCTCTTTGTCTGGTACTACCAGGTTTATGATATTCCACCTAAGTTCTTTTACACTCGAAAACTCCTTGGGGTAAGTATAAGTTCCATCTCATGAAATATTGACTGGCTCATAGTGTTAATCAAATATTCATTTTAGCATTTTCAGTAAATATTCTGACCAACCCAAATAGCACCATCAGCCTCGTTCCCTCCATTGCAACCTCCTAGACAAGAGTCTTTAGGTTTTCTAGTGTGGGACAAACAAAAGTATGGCAGAGGTCCAGCAGCATCCCTTCCCTCCCAAAAAGCACTGGACAAGTGTTTAGCTTAAATCTAATACTGACTCTGGAATTGAAAGGTAGGTTGGAGAGATGTATCCAGGCATAATGCAGCTGGGACAAGTGAGACTTTTCACATTCTCTAAATCATCCAATTCTTACCACTTTTGTGCATGGAGAACCCTGCTCCTAGTGGCATGTTATGAAATGAACATCAGGAAATAAGCCTCTCCCTACAGATGGAGACTTTGGGGGATTTGTCCAAGAGTCACATTCATTGATTAGGCTAGCAGAGTGAAGGCCCCCAATTTTCCTTGGGTCCATTAGCCATTCTCAGTTTTGTTGAACTGCCAGGTCTCTTCTTCATCACAGATGAAAATAATTACAGCTATAGCTGCCCCCAGAAGATATTATTTGCTACATCATGCTGAAACCATAAATTTATTACTTAATAATAATAGTAATATAATTGTATTATAAGTCATATGTATAAATTATATCATTATACTACATTATTATGGTTGTTGTTAACTTATTTAGGTTGATGCTGAGAAGAATGATTTCCCATTGTTTTTCCCCTCCAAAATATGCAGCTTCCTTAGGTATTTCAAAGAATAATTATAATACCAAAGCATTATACCATACCAACTTAGGTTAGGTTTAAGGTCAGTCTAAGGGCTAAGAAAACTTCCTTTAAAAACCCTAGTTTTTATATTGCACTCTAGTTAATGATATGCATGCTTAAGTACATAGGGGGAAGCAAACTGATGTCTGCAGTTTACTTTGAAGTGCATCAAAAGTAAGATATGTTGATGGATGGACAAAGTGATGGTTAGATAGATGGATAGATGAGAGAGATGGATAGATGGGTAGATATGTGATAAAGCAAGCATAGTAAAATGTAAAAGATGGAATTGGGAAGATGGATAATTTTCAATATGAAATGATTTAAAATTCTCTTTATGTTTGAAAATTTTCATTAAAAATGTTGGGGTTGGGGGTAAGGGCCAGATTAAAACAAAAGGTCCCAGCAGGCCCTAAAGCATAAACCCTTGGCTCAGAAGGACCTACCTTTCCAGACAACTTGATGTCTCTGGTGTGTGGGTCTTATGCTAGGAACCCTGCGGAACTGGGTGAGGAGTTCTGTGCTCACAGGCATCACGCTACTCGCTCTTCTGCCTCTTCTAGCGAGCGCTGGCATTGGCCAGGGCCCCCGCAGCCTGCCTGAATTTCAACTGCATGCTGATACTGTTGCCAGTCTGTCGAAATCTACTCTCCTTCCTCAGGGGTTCCAGTGCGGTAAGAACAACCATTTACAAATTTTGAGTTCCTCAAACTTTAAAAGGCAGTCAAGCTAAATGTCCTTTCTTAGAAAAAGGAAACAAATGTTTTTTGAGGATTTCAGTCTCCGTAGAATATTCATGAGCCAAGCAATGCTTGATTCTGCAGCTTGTTTCTATATCACTTGTTGATGGAGCTCCCTGGAACAACCATTTAACCTGAAACAGACTTTAAAAAAATAACAACCAATCAATCTATACCTCATTAATTACAAAAATGCCCATGTGCATGCATGCACACAGACCTACATAATAATTATGCGCACACACACACACACACACACACAGGGCTTTACGAGGCTGATGTGAACTTTGTAAATTACTGTTACAGTGCTATCTTTTTCAAAATTTTTAAGCCAGAGAAAATCTCTTGTGTGTAACATCCCGAGCAGTTGGAACCAATGGGCAATGAGTCACACTATAATGAATGTGATTAAGAAGGTCTTGATGTGAGGGAATGAGGAGTTCAGAGCTTTCCAATTGCTCAAGGCTCCTTTCACTCTCAGTTCAACCATTTCTTGAGCTCCTGAATGTACTATGCTAGAAGAAAAAAATATTATGTAGAAAGAACTTTTATAACCTGTAAAATGGTATACAAATTTCTTATTAATATTATTATACAAAGGTGAGAAACATGGAAGTTTGTATCTACACATGGTACTCAAATAAATGGGTTCCACAAAACATAACAAATAAGGAACTGCAGGGAATCAAAAGAGGCGAAGTTTTATCAGGTGGGCAGAGGGTGAATAAAGGCTTCTTGGAGAAGGTGGCATCAGACATGCATATATAAGGAGAAAGACATTCTACCTGGAGAACGTGGCATGGGAAAATGCACAGGAGATGGTGGGGAAATCATATCATATCCCTAAAAGCTCTGAACAAGCATGACTTCTGTCTTTCCTTTGGACTTTTTTGCCCTTCCTAACCACACCAGAATAGCTCTTCCAAAGTTAGGGATTGATACCCTGGTGGGACCTATTCCACTAGGTCACTAGCATCTAATAACCTCTTGTTTTTCTGTTAATAAAATGTATGTTTTTAATATTAACGAGCTCCTTAAAAATGACATATTAAGTAGAGATAACTTCTAGAAGAGAAGAGCAAGAAATCTATTTTGATGGGAATATAGAGATCGTAAAGGACAAGTACCTGCAATAAGGCTGAATTGGAAGTTAGAGCTTTGCTGGTAAACTAGGACCTTGAAAGCATAGCTGAGGAGTTAATACCTAATTTGGCAATCACAGAATATTTTGAAAAAGGTAAGTGGTCTAAACTGTCAATAACAAGGAGAACTTGCCTTGAAATCTGCCTCATTTTTCCTCGTCATAGTGAATTCACATTGATCCTAGGGGAATTTTTTTTTCCTTTAAGAATGATACAACACTCAATTTACTAATATAGGATTAGCAGAGTACAACGAAGAGTAGACACCGATTACAAGGATTTCCAAATAATCCTTTCAACCCAAGAAACCACAGAGATAAAGTTTCATTTGCTTAAAAGTTTTATTAATGAACCACCTGTAAAATACTATATCTGATATACCATAGGTACCCAGCAAACATTTGCTAAATGAAGCTCATGCACTGTAGCATTTTGTTTTTAAAGAGACATGATTAGTTTTTATTTCCCCCCTTTCCCTGTTTGAATACTGTGTATTTAGAGGAAGTAGGCCCTGAGAAATAGGCAGTGTTTTCACCAGGATGGCCCGTTAGGAAATCCTCATTACCCCACAAGCCCAAATTGTACTGCTGTTATACTGCTACACCCCATGAGTAGTGCCTGTTGTAATGGCTGATTTTAGGCTTCTTGTGGCCCAGGAGTGAAAATCCTCCTGAGGTTCTTTAAAGACAGGGATGAAATGAGGCTTCCCTTCAAATTGCAGTGAAGTTCAGCTCCAAAATGAGAAAGACCTGTATATAAAAGAACATATTTTTAAAAGATTTTATTTATTTGTTTTTAGAGAGAGGGGAAGGGAAGGAGAAAGAGAGGGAGAGTAACATCAATGTGTGGTTGCCCTTCGCACGCCCCCTACTGGAGGCCTGGCCCGCAACCCAGACACGTGCCCTGACTGGGAATCGAACCAGCGACCCTTCGGTTCGCAGGCTGGCACTCAATCCACTGAGCCACACCAGCCAGGGTGAAAACATTTTTTTAAAAGAAGATAGCAGCAAGCAACGTTCTTTTAAAGATGGGTTGTATCCCTCCTTCTAGGTTTTCCAGCCTGAAATGTAAACTTTGCAAATGAAACTGATTTTTCTGATAGGGATTAAAGTGAGTGTCCGTGTTGTGACTAATGTTGGAAATCATAATAGTTGTCACTTACTGAGTTTTCATAGACTTCACCTCATGAAATCTGCCTATCAAGTCAGTGAGGTGAAGATGAAATTAAATGGTATTGGGATTCAGACCAAGAATTGTGCCCCGAGAGCCTATTCACTTTCCTACGTGCAACCTAAACTCAAAACTGTCCTATTGTGGTATTATGGTCTAAGAAAGTTCATCATATATATGGATATTTGAGAATGCTGAATAAGCTATGCTAGAAATGGCAAGGACATTGTAACTTCAAGGATTCATTAGTAGGGCACTATGCAAACTAAACAGTCTTCCATTCAGTTTCTAGTGGTTTCAATCATTTAAACTTTGCTTCATAATCCTTCTGGTTACCTGGATAAAGAAAGATGAAAGGTTGGCCCACCCCAGGAAAAACAGAGGTAAAGCTCAGCCTGCATTGTTGAGGAAAATGGGGAAGGATGGGACTTAGCATACAGAAATCCCCAGAGTTTCAAAATTATTTGTCAGGAAGTAGAAAAGAAACAGTGTGGCAAGTGTAGACATGTGGGTGAATACATCTCTATAGGTTTAGAATAATCATCTTAGATTGTAAGACAGTGAAAATGTAATTCATTTAAATAAATAACTATTAAAGAATTTTAAAAAGTATATGATATATTGCTATGCATGCAGGAAGCTTACCTTCTAGCTAAGGAGCCAAGCCATATTAAATGAGAAGTTAAATAATGATACAATAAAATTGAATATTCACTAAACACCTCTCTGTGAATATATGAAACAGACCTAAGAGGGAAAAGCTGTAAGTATATAGGTAAGGAAACTGGAAACTGAGTAAATTGTTCAACATCTCACAGCTAGGTGGTAGGGCTGGGCTACAACACAGGTATACCTCATGGCAAAAGTTGCTCTCTGAAGTGTAATTCAGCACTGCTTTCTGACCTTACTTTTTCAATTCTCCTGTTTGCAGCACTTCAATTATGTTCCAATCTCCACTAAGGACTGTATTAATTATCTATTACTGTGTATCAAATTTCTACAAATTCAGGAGTTGCAAGGAATCAAAAGAGGGGAAGTTTTATCAGGTGGGCAGAGGGTGAATAAAGGCTTCTTGGAGAAGGTGGCATCAGACATGAATATATAAGGAGAAAGACATTCTACCTGGAGAACAGGGCATGGGAAAATGCACAGGAAATGGTGGGGAAATCATATCATATCCTTAAAAGCTCTGAATAAGCATGACTTCTGGCTTTCCTTTGGACTTTTTTGCTCTTCCTAACCACACCAGAATGGCTTAAAACAACTCCAATTTTTTAGCTCACAGTTCTGCAGGTCAGAAGTTCAGCATTGGTAGTATCTGGGTGTCAAGTGGGCCAAATTCTCTGGGTAAAAGTCTTCCAAGCTCACTCTTGTTAGCAAAATTCAGTTCCTTGCAGTTGCAGGACTGAGGTCCCTGTCTACTTGCTGATGGTCATCCAGGGGCTGCTCTCAGATCCTAGATGCCCCTGTATTCCTTGTCATGTGGTTCTGTAACTGCAGATCCAGTTCAAGCTGGTTCTATCCTGTTTCTAACAGGACCTGGAACCAAAGTTTATACTACTTATGAGTAACACTTGTGAACATCACTCACAAATAGCACTTGGGAACCATTAACTGCTCCCTCCCCCAACCCCACCATAGAAACAAAGGACCAGGACATGACAGGAACCTGAGTACAGAAGTGAAGGGTCCATTGTCCAGGAAGATCCAGTGCTGAAACTCCTTAAAATCCTACCCTGAACCCTGGATTGGGGAGCCAGACATGAGCCTTGCTTCCTGTCTCCTTGCCAGTTAACTTGAAGATGGAAAGCCTTTTCACAAAATCCGGTGCCATAGTGTTGACTTCTTTGCAGATTGGGTGTGAGCCCTTGCTTGGTAACAGTCCCCTCCGTCTTCAAGCCATCAACAGTGCATCAATCACTTCTCATGCCTCTAACCTCTGACATCTTATAACTCTGACTCCTAGACCCAGATGTTTTTAAAAAATATTTTATTTATTTACTTTTAGAGAGGGGAAGGGAGGGAGAAAGAGAGGAAAAGAAACATCAATGTGTAGTTGCCTCTCACACACTTCCTACTGGGGACCTGGCCCACAACCCAGGCATGTGCCCTGACTGGAGATCCAACCAGTGACCCTTTGGTTCACAGGCAGGCACTCAATCCACTGAGTCACACCAACCAGGGCTAGACCCAGATTTTGTGATTGCATCAGGCTCACCCAGATGATCTCTCTCATAATGCCAATTGGGGACTTTATCTCTGCAAAGTCCCTTTTGCCATGTAATGTAACAAAATCACAGGAGTGATATCCCATCATGTGCATAAGTAAGGTCGCACTCACGCCCAAGGAGAGAAGATTATATAAGGTCATTGGGGATCATCTTAGATTTCTAATTACCACAGGGACTCTAAGAAACAATTGGCAAATAGGAAAAAATATTTTCTTAAAATTGTAGCGAATATAAAGTAGTAAAACAAAGCAAGACATTGAAATAAACACAAAAGACAATGAGGCTATTTAAGAAAACAGGAACAGTCAATTTTTTTTTTTACCAACAGATACATAAAATAAGTGATTTCAAACAGGGAGCCCTTGTTTTGAGAGCCCGAGTCACTGCTGAACTCCATGGACAGTCACTTCATTATAGCCGATGCTGTTGGTGCTCCACCCATGTTCCCTCCACACTGACAGTTCCAGTTCATGGGTATCTGCCTTCTGGAAGTCCCACTCATTCTTTGCCAGAGGATTTTCTTTCAGTCATCCCCTGGGACAAGCCTGAATTGCCAGGGTGCTGATGCCCTGGGTATAGCCCTCAGCCAGTGACAGATGGAAGTTGGTAGATGAATACCAAGTTTCTTAACCCCTCAGGAAAAATGAAACAGAAAGCAAAACTGTGGGGCATGTTCTACACAGTCTCCGATCAGAGAGTTCACTGATACATAATATGTAGTGGTAGTTGATATAACATACCCTTTATAGGTTTCCTTCCTTTCCAGGTTTTACTTCCCCTAACCTTGTTTTGTGTAATCACCTTCCAGATAGAGTACTTACACTTAAAACCTTGTCTTGGTTTTTCAGACAGGTAAAAGAATAACACCTATATTTTTATATTTGGTTTGGTGGAAAAGCATGAACCTTAAAGACAAATAGACTCGGATCCAAGGAGCATAAGAGTTAGCTTTAGTTTTATTGTCTGTAAAATGAGGAAAATGATACTTAGTTTATTGTATTAAGTGAAGTAATGATTGTGGGTAACCTGCCTGGCTCACAGAAGGCTAATTCTTTTTTCCTTTTTCTGAAATTCTCAATGTCTTACTTACTAGTACTTCTACAGTTCTAGGGATCTGCTGTCCAGGTCTAAGCTTCCTGCCCTCCCTAGATGTAGCTGAGAGATTGTGGAGTAAGCACAGTTTTTCATATAGTTATATATTTTCTATAAAATCAGGATATTTTATTAGAAATAAGTAAGCCAAATATTAAATACCCCTATATTTAAATGGAATATATTTAGAACTAGATATTTATAATACCTAAGGTATTTTGAGGGGAGTGGCAAGTGGCATTTAACTCAGGTCTCCTTAAAAGTTCTTTGAATCTCTATGGCAGTACATGTAGTCTCAGGAACAAAGCAGCCAGAGTGAGCATTTGACCAGTTTTCAGGACGGTAAAGCTCTGATTGAACTAAAAACCAGGTTCTGAGTCCAGGTTCAAACCCACAACTTCTTACATATGTTATGAGGGCAGTTACACCAATGTATTGAACAAAATACTATTTTTAATGTCAAGGTATGAGAATATTGATATCTTTGGCATCAGACAGCCTGAGTTTAAATGCCAGCACTGCCACTTATTACCTATGTGACTTAACGCAAGGTAACCTCTCTATATCTTTGTTTTCTTACCTGTTATATATTGATAATCATGGTACCTCCCTGATAAGACTGATGTAAGAATGAAATGAGTCAATGCATATAAAACACTTAAAGAGGCTTTTTGCATAAGTTCTTTGTAAATATTACCTATTGTTTTTTGTGCTATTATTATTTGGTTAAGGATGCCCCTTGTGATGTCTCTATCGACATAGGCAGGTGGACGATTTTTTTCTCCTCCCATAGTGTATGTCCTAAAAGGGTTTTGTTCTAAAACTACTCACTTGTTTGTCAGTTAGACTGTCAGGTTTTTGAGGACAGGCCTGCCCTTTGTTCATTTCTATATCCTCTGTTTATAATATATTAATCTGAACTAGAAACTATGTGGTTAAATGTTTTCTGTCCAAGTTCATATTTTATACAATTAATCAATGGATTTCTGGAGAGACTTTTTAGGTCACTAATATGGGAACATAAAACATTGTTGGTTAGTCCAGCTATGCTACTTACTGGCCCTTTAACATTGGGAAGATGAATTCATCAATCTGAGCCTCAGTTCTCTCATCTATCAAATGGGTAGAATGACATAGTTTTTAGGATGGTTGTGAGAATTAAATAAGGAGATATGTATCTAATGCCTGGAACAGAGGGAACCTTATTAACAATTACTATTTCATTATTTTCCCCTTAATCCAAAGTGCTGCTCAACAAGAATTCGAAGACAACTGGACAGGAACCTCACCTTTCATAAAATGGTGGCATGGATGATTGCACTTCATACTGGTGGGTTTATTAAGATATTTGAGACTGCAAAGAAAACATGAAACCAGAGAGTTCCTTATATTCTTAGATACTTTTGAAAATAAGAGGTCAACTTTCATAGGCATATTAGGTGGTGATTAGATATGTTGTATTTTTTAATAAGTTCTGTTAAAAAAAATTTACCCCTCTTTCCACCATTTCAATATTAGAGTTTATTCCTTAACATCTTAATACTTTTTTATCTTGGGCTCTTCTGATAAAATCCCAGTGTGTTCACCTCTTTTCACCATATTTAATATCAAAAATGTTTGTTAGTCCACATAGGAAGGCTTTTATTCATTCATTAAAAAAATTCTTCTTTTAAAAAGTAGAGTCATGGGTTTCTTGTAGTAACCTTAGAGGGGCTACAGCCTATAACAATCCCTTAAAATAGAGTTTATCAGCTAAGCACTTTATTTATTATTATTGCTTATATACATAAACATATAATAGGTACATATGTGTTTAAATGTAACATATATAATGTGTTATTATTACAATTATTAAGGTGGTGGTGTAGGCACAAGAAGGGTTATATCTGGCATGGCGACTATAGTTAATAATACTATATTGCATACTCTATTTGAAAGTTGTTAGGAGAGTAGATCTTTAAAGTTCCCATAACTAGAAAATAATTCTGTAATGATGTGTGGCGATGGATATTTTTGCAATATATACAACTATCAAATCATTGTTATATACCTGAAATTTATATACTGTAAATCAATTATATCCCGATTAAACAATGCAAAAAAAAAAACCCAGAAAAAAGGGGATGTATCTGGGACCCTTATCAAATCTCCACTAGGTCACTTAATAAATAATTGATGTGTCAGACAATAGGCATGCACACATACACAGTGATGAAAAAAAGAGATTTTTTAGTCTGCCCTTAAGGAGTTTTTCCCTGAGTAAAACAGGCTTACACTGCAGATGTTCAACTGTGTTTCTCATCTACTAGTAGATTATGCAGGCTTTCTGAGCTGTGGCAAATAAAATGTTTCAGAAGTGAAATGTATAAAAAAGTAAAATGTATGATAAAATCTTGTTAGAAAGAAACGTAGTGTAATGGTTAACAGCCTAGATTTGTGGACCAAGCTGCTTGGGTTTGATTCTTAACCCTGTTACTTATTAGCTTGATGACCTTGGACAAAATTAAAGCAATCTATGCCTCAGCTTCCTCATCTGTAAGATAAGATGATATTATCTAAATCATTGATTCATAAGGATTAAGTAATTATAAAGCACTTGTAGCAGTGCTTGGAACCTAGTAAGTCCTGCTTGTTAAGCAAAGAATGAATTATTTTTTTAAAAAAGAGTTAATTCGTATGGCAATTAGTTTGAATCAGTTCAATATAACATTATCATCTCTCTCTGGAGTCATGTCAGGGAGTCAGGTGAACAGAACAACCAAAGGCATATGTTACATGAGAGTCTTCCTGTTTGAACATAAATATATCAGGGGAAGAGAGACAATGAGAGGGCATCTCAATGTCGTCAGAGACCAAAGTTATTTAATAGAATCTTAGGACTTGGTTGGGTCTTTAGGATCATTTAGTTCAATACTTTCATTTTGCAAATTAGGAAACCGAGACCATAGAGATTAAGTGATTTGCCTATGCTCACACAACTAGAAAATAACTTACCCAGTAGAATTGCTTGCTTCTCTGGTACTGGAGACCCAGTTTTTGTTTCTCAGTTTCCTGGGCCATTCATGTGTTTCCCTGTAACCTATCATAGAGTCCAGGGCTATAGGCAAACCCAGTTTACAATAAAATTGTTCATACCCTTCACCCCCTTTGTTTTTCTTCTCTGTCCTCTTTAGCGATTCACACCATTGCACATCTATTTAATGTGGAGTGGTGTGTGAATGCCCGAGTCAACAATTCTGATCCTTACTCAATAGCACTTTCTGACATTGGAGATAAGCCTGGTGAAACTTACCTCAATTTTGCTCGAGAGAGAATCAAGGTAAGCCTCTTATTTCCTGATTCTCCTGTTCCCTAGGCCATTGAAACTGAGGACTAGATTTCAGTGAATTAAGAACTTCACTTGGCCAGAAAAACAACAAAAGTTGACTATCAGAGGGACAAGTCTGTAGGTTCTAAGAAAGTGGGTACAGAGAAAATATCTCCCACACTCCTGATCCCATGTGTGGAGGTCCCTAGATATTTTTCAGTTCCTTAAGATTACCTGTAAGAATGTGTGTGGGTGGAGCTTGGAGTAACTCTAGGCCACCATGGCAAGGCCCAACAGCAAGCCAGGAATACACATGTAGTCAAAGTTGGGTTTATTACTTACTGCAACGAAAGAGACCACACACCTTGAAGAAGTGCAGGGGATTTCAGGACATTAAGAAAGGCTTGTTATAGGATCTGGCATTGTGTTAAATGATCTGGGAAGAGCTTAAGGAAGCCAGGATTTGCTCTGGATCAGGTATGTTCAGGAATAGGGCCTAGTTCTAGGATTGGGTATCTTAATTCTTTCTAGAAGGCACAAGGGAATAGAATGAGACTATATCTTTAATAGGTAAAAAAGTAGCACTCACCCATGACCTTTCCCAAATCAAAGGGAGAAAGATCTTGAGCTCCTTTTAGGTCATCTTATTGTAGAATGATTTCCTTTATTTGATATTCCCTTAGAACTATTTCAGTATATTGATTCATATTATTTATGACACCTCAACCACATGACATATTTTGAAATTGAGAAATATGTATTCAAAGTCTGTCTCCCTCTGTGAGGGTTGGTTAGAATTATGTAAAGGGGGAGTGAAAATACTTATTTCCTTATACACTGGACACCTTATATATAGATAGTTTTGCATTTGAAAGCATACAAAAATGTGTGTATGTATGTATTTGTATTTTATAGAATCCTGAGGGAGGCCTGTATGTGGCTGTGACTCGGTTGGCAGGCATTACTGGAGTTGTCATCACACTGTGCCTCATATTAATTATCACCTCTTCCACTAAAACCATCCGGAGGTCTTACTTTGAAGTGTTTTGGTACACACACCATCTTTTTGTGATCTTCTTCATTGGTCTTGCCATCCATGGAGCTGAGTGAGTATTTAAACTCCAGGACCAACTACTTTATGTCACAACTTCAGTTTCTAGGTGTGATGCTCTGTTAGAAGCACAGTGACTTCCTTGTCTGTGTGTGGTCAGCTGGTCTTCTGAGGGAATATGAGGGGGCAACAGAGGTCATTGTGATAGAAACCACCCAGCAGCTGTTTAGTTTCTTACATCCAATTAATAGCTATTCATAATGCTACTATTTATAGCAAGTTTGAAAATACATCAAAGTTTGAATATCCTTGCAAGCATATAAAACATGTGAAGAGTGCTTGTATGGTCTTGGATGTCTGCAGTGATATGTTTCCTGTGGCTTAATCATGAATATATTGGACAAACTCCCAAATTAAAACAGTTAACGATTAGTCAGTTGAAAGGGTTTTCTGTAGTTCAATGAGTTTTGATTCAAGCCAATCATTTATTGATTGCCTACTGTGTATGAGAACCGATCTCAGGCACTGTGGGGAACACTAGAAGGAAAAATACATGGTTATTTCCTTCAAGCATTCTAATATAATAAAGGTAAGAGCTAACCTCTGGTGAGCGCTTGTTATAGACGTGAAATGTTTCTTTTAATCCCCGAGAGGTAAAGGTGCTCTTACTATCCCCATTTCCTGGGGAAATTGTAGACATGGAACCAGACTAGAATAGGTAAAATATGTAGCCCAAGCCACCCAGTTAGTAAGTGGCATAGCTGGGGTTGGAACTCAGGTAGTCTAAGCACCTCAGAAACACAGTGCTTAACATATGGTTGAAAGAGTTTGCCTTATTGGAAATCTTATTTAATATCATATTTCCTTTTTCAATTGTGTCACACCAGCTGATTCCCGCCTGTGCACAAAAGTAGGTTTGGGGAAGTTCACTGGTATAAATAGGGCTCCAGATAACTAAGGGTGGAGGAAGTGGATGCTTAGGTTCAGTGACTTTGCTCAAAGCCCAGTTGGCCTAGAAATAACCAAGTAAGTGTGAAAAGTGGAAGGGTGGTGAAAACATCATTGGGCAACCACTGTGTGCATTCTTGATCAACTTACTTGACTCTGATCCCTGAGATACTCTTTCTATGCACTGAAAATTCTGGGTAGAAAAGAATCTCTTGACTCTCCTAAAGCAATTGACTATCTTTATTTTTAGTATATATCTATATATCTAGATATTTATACATAGATATATATATAGATATAGATATCTAGATATCTAGATATCTATACATATATATAATTTTATTTTCTTTCTTATTATAAAGCACCTTAAAAATGAAGTGACCAAACAACCAAATTATGCCCTTATTACTTAAGAATCATAAAACCAGAACTTCAATAACTTGGTTATCTTAAATGAACAGTTTCTCTTTTTCTTTCATAATTTCAACCCTCATTTTGTAACATCTTGTTCATGTTGCAAGATGTTTTTTGGGGGAATATTTTTCTTTTTTGTAATGAATTTCACTGATTTTTTTAATTATGCAAAGGGAATAGCTACCTTAAACTTCAGATCTTCAAAGTGCAACTGAGTACCTTTAAATGGAACTTGATCATAATCCAGTTGTTTCAGAGAACCCTAGATAAAAAAATGCATTTGAGGAGAATCCGCTACTTAAACTTGTTGTCTGATTGCTCACAGTCTCATAGCTAGGCAGTAACTGAACTGGGATTAAAATCCAGGCTTTCTGATTTCTGGTCCTGCCATTGACAAGAAAAGGAGAAAATCAGATTTTTTAAAAAATTACATCCTCCTCATGTGGACTTGGGTATTAAAAACTTAAATAGTTAGCATTTGTTGGATGCTTACTTGTGTCTGGCATTTGTTATGCATCATGTCAATTGATTACTAGTATACCTATTTTATGGCTGAAGAAACTGAGGTTCAAAAGACGTTCAATAACTTGCACCAAACCAGTAAGGCGTGAACCTGGGACTTAAAACCAAGGCTGTCTGGCTTGGATCCAGAACTGTTTTCACTAGATCAGTCTGCTCTTAGTTGCCTAGTCTAAGCCTTGTCGTCTTCATATGTGAAATTGGAGTACTAATACTTACCTTTCAGGCTTTTTTATGAGGATTAAATGAGATAACTTGTAGACACTGCCTTTTCCCAGGCCTGGCACATAACTGATGCTCAGGGTAATCTCTTCCCCAAGATCTAGAGATAGAAAAGGATGGTTAATAACCTTGAATTAAAACATTCTCAGAATATACAAAGTGGCACAATAAATTTTAGGTCCCTCAAACAAACTTCTACAAAGGACCTTCTGTGCCTTTTCTTATTACATGTTCTGAAGACCTTGCTATCTATGTTCCCTGAGGTCACGGACATGACTTATTCAACTTTATGTCTCCCTTCATCTATCCCACTAAACCCACATTGTCTTGAGTTTTAGTAGTTATTTAGTTAGTATCTATTGAAGTTAATGGGCTTCGGGCACTTCAAGGGAGAAACCATTAGTGCTCATGTTTGTGAGAATGTCTTAATCTCCACAAAGTTAAGTCTTCTTAAATTGACCTCAATCTTTTGGTTTAATTTCAACAATTTCAAAACAACAAATAAAGAACTTGTACTAAGCTTCATGGCTACTGCATGATTGCAGGGGTTGTCAGCTATACATGGGGAATAAAATTAGGCTCATGTTCTGCTGACCAAGGTCTTTGCTTGTAGGCGTGTCCTCGCTGAGGGGTTATCTTTTTCTAATTTGTACAAAGGCACTGTATGGGCTAGCAGTTGCTTTGTTAGATTTGCAGTTATCTGTTTTTGTTTGTTTATAAATGAAAATAATTCTACAAACAGGAGCACAAATGCTCCCTTTAAGAAAACATGTATTTATCCAAAACTTCTATAATATTACATATAAATATTCTTTGTGCCACTGTACATGTTTTTTTTCCTACTGTTGAGGATCATATACCTTCTTTCTCTTTCTTTAATCTATTTGGAGGGAGCAATAAGATATACCTCTTTAGTGAAAAGTACAAGACCTCTATTAGAATACTTAAAATATGCCCATCATGTCAAAAAACCTGCTTAATTCCCTGCTACTAAACTATCTATACTTATATTTCCTCCCCAGGCGAATTGTACGTGGACAGACCTCAAAGAGTTTGCAGGAGCACAATATAACAATATGCAAAGATAACATCTCAGCTTGGGGAAAAATAAAGGCGTGCCCAATCCCTGAGTTCTCTGGGAACCCTCCTATGGTATGAACAATTCATTGTTGCTATTACAGTTTCATTAGCAAAATCTTTAAACTGTGTCTAAGAAATACATACAAATGTGATAGGACTACTAGAATGTTATATGTATCTACTTTTTTCCTAATAAACTTAGTAGAGAATTATTTCTTGAAAGGTAAACTTTGCATTGGTCTTTTATGAACATCCTGATATAAAACTCAGAAAAGCTTCATTTTTGAAAGTGCTCTTTGGGTTTGAGAAGTTCCATCTTTTCTCTTCTGGATGTGAAGGTCACAATAATACCAGTTAGTTATTTTCAGAGGCATTCCATCATGAGCTGAGTTGGGTAGCTCAGATAATCACCTATAAGGAGCTAGGAACCTCTTCAGATACCAGGAAGTAAGTCTTTCTATCTAGATTTTGGAGCCAGGAAGGAAATTTATGAGGTGACACATAAGGTTGCTTTTAAGCATCTAGAAGTCTTGTCAATGAAGCATAAAAGAGGTTGGACAGTTAGGTTCATACTAATATGCAATGGCACTGTGTTGTAGAACAGGAGTGTGACAAGGGTGACAAAGGAAAACATGCTGAAATATTTACCTTCTTTTCTTGGGAGCTCTGAAGAACTCTATTTTTTGTATTCTCAATATCTTAGCTCCATAGAGCAATATGTGGGCCCTGTGATGTTCATTTTCCCCCGTGGCAAGCAGTATACTTTGTTCATTATTATGCTAGCCATTGGTATAAAACTAGGCAAAAATAATCAAATAAAGAACTTCTGAGCAGAATTATTGGTTTTTTTTCCCTAAGCACAGTATAATATGAAGATAAACTTCCCATCTTATTTTCTCCTTTCTTTCTTTTTACTCTACTAATATAGGAGTATTCTTTCTCTAGACACAGAATGTTCTCTGGGGACTTAACATCTTTAAACATCCTTGCTCATTAATGAAAGCAACCAGACACTTCAGTGAACTGTCCCCATTACATGCAGATATCAATGGAAAGGATAAAAGGGGAACTGTATTTCAGGTTCCCTTATAGGCTAGGGGAAGGCACATTTCCTCGAAGACAGCTGGAGTCAGAGTACTATCATCTTAACAGACATCTACCTCAAAGGAGCTTCTGGGTTTTAGGGGATATTAGAGGTATTGTCCAAGACCTGATTCTGTTCAATGAGGCCCCATGGTGGCACCTAGGAAATAGATGATGCCAGACTGTTTTAAGAACTTGTGCTATGAAAAAAAAAAAGGCCAGTAGCAGAACATTACTGACTTTTTAGGGCAGATATTCTTCAACTTTGGCTACAGAGAGGAACATGTAGGTGATGTTGCCTTCTAAAATTCTTTGCTACTTCAGGTATTAAACTAGTGCACTCAACTTCCAATAAAACACCTCTAAAAAACATAATTTAATAGAAAGACCACCTGTGAGACTGTGAGAAGCACTTCATGATTGTATTTCCTTCCTGGAATTCATTCTGGAATATCATCTTTTAGATGATATTGCCTTCTAAAATTCTTTGTTACTTCTGGTATTAAACTAGGAACCTGAGTGAGTCCTGGGATGGATCTGTTTGACCTAAATATTTTTATATAACCAACAATGCTACAAGGTAATTCCAGTATTCTGAAACACCACAGATGCTGACAAGAGGGGAATCCAGAGAAATCTGAAAGTCTTTGGGTTTTTTCTTATTCAGAAAGTGCATTGCATAGCTCTTAGGAAGTTACCAGGATATTGGAGAAATAGCTAAATTCTTACATAAAATTTCTCATCTTGCAAAAGAATAAATTTTGAGTACATAATAATTGAAAGCAATTGCAATGTTGCATTAAAAATATGGTGTTGCTAAAATGGTATCTTTTAGAGAAATGTTAATTCCGAAACCAAAATTACTTTGCTGTAGGGTTATTGCAACTGCTGTTGCAACACTAGGAGGAAATCCCATTCTTGTGGGCAGTTCCTCTTGGGAAAGTTTCATGCTGTAGATATAGTTCCCCAATGCAGTCGTGAAGAATGTTCATTCGTACTGGCTCAAAATTCTATTATTTTAATTTTAGATAATTTTTTATGCATTCTGTTGTAGAAGACATTTACTAATCTAATATAAAATATTTGAAAATGCCTACAAAGATTAACTTGACTTCTAAAATGTTTTGTCCCCATGAATCTTTTATTAACTATCACCCCTTAACACATCCTTTTTTAAGATTCTTTTTTTGCTCTGGTTACAGACTTGGAAATGGATAGTGGGTCCCATGTTCCTGTATCTCTGTGAGAGGTTGGTACGGTTTTGGCGATCTCAACAGAAGGTGGTCATCACCAAGGTACTGGCTGGTTTAGGACTTACTACTAGAATCTTACTATAGAATGGAAAAATCTACTCAAGTTCTCTATCATTAATCAGAGCGCTCTTTTACTCAGTTTCTTTTGATTAAACTTAGAGCAGAGAGATGACCTAGTTAATTTCAATGTACTTTGCTTGATAATCAAATGGTTGGGCCTTTTAACCAGGTAAACTAGAAGTTAACATTCTCTGTTGAAAAATGAGCCCAAATGTTTTGTGTAAATGAATGTGGTTTGTGTGTGTGTGAGTGTGGGGGGGCATAAAGTGATAATGTGATTAGTTAAGAGTGGGGAAGCAAGAGGTGAGTTGAAAAGAGCATACAGAGAGCCTTAAAATATTCAGATGCTGAACTAGGGAATCAAGGGCAGGTTAACAAAGTTTCCCAAATCTTCTATACCTCCTTTTCTGTGCTCTGTATGTATGTAATCATTGACTACCAAAGTTAAAGTGCCAAAGTCTCAAGCAAGTTACTAACTAAACTACATCTAGAATTGAGTCTCCTAGCTCCAGGTAAATAGTGGTTTTCCCTCCAACAACTCTATGTTGCTTCTCGTCATTAAGTAAATAAATAGATAAATAAATAAAATCTAAATAAATAAATAGAAATAGAAAGTTCTCATGATATTTTCAGGAAACATCAGACAAGACTATTTGTATCAAATGACATTTAATTTCGTTCAGTTCAGTTCAAAAAGTACTTACCAAAAGCCTACTATAGGTTATTTTTGCAAAACACTTCCATTCTTCCTGTCCTTCACCCCAACTTTTCTTTCTTGGCATCTATGGAAGGTCATAGTAAAGAGAGGACAGCTGGCATTGGAAATCTAGAAATATGAAAAGCCACAAAAGTTCTCCTTTTATGCTACTTACATTGTACTATTAGAAAAATCCCGCAGATCAGCAAAAAGAGCTACCTCAAAATTTTCCTAACTAGACTAGAACTAACCACATAAGTGTTTCCCTGAAACATATTTCTAAGGCAGACTTGTTTTCCTTTGAAGAAAACAGATTTTCATTTTCTCTTCACATAAACACACATAAGAAACAAGGTATCTAAGAGGAGCCCAGTGACAATGCTGTCCCCTAGTACATTTTATTCACTTCAATCCCAATTTTGCCTGTGGTAGCAAAATTGCTGTATGTTAAAAATTGGTTTCACCACACAGTATTGCAACATGGTAACCATAATTTTCAAAATAATTTTGATTAAATTTTTATTTTGTTTTTAAAATACAGCTTTACAACTTCTTATTTCAGTGATGAAGGGAAGTTGGTTACAGTTTTATCAGATAAGATAAATTTAAATCACAAGTTTTGGAAATGTTTGACAATTTTTATTAAAAGGACTTCCCATTCTATTCCTCCTCATTGATGAAAATAAAAGCTCAGTAAAATCAGTCAACATTAGGAAGCTGCTATTTTTTTCTATTGGTTTTTCTTTCCTTTTATATCCCTGGTTTGTTTTTAGTTGTACATATGAAGTTCTTCTAGGCTTTTCAGGAATCATCAAAGAAACAATGTATTAGTTTCTGTATTGAAATGAAAACTTTTTATTGTGATTTATTTTTTAAAATTATTTACCAACTCAGCAATTGATGGACATTTGGACTGTCTCCATTTTTTTTTGTATTATAAACAAAGATGTGCATGGATGGGCAATGGGTAGGTAGGGGCTGACTTTGAGAGATATAGCTGGTGTATTACCCAAATGGGGAGAAATGCAGAAACAATGTGTGAAATTAGAAAGGTTCAGGTGTGACTTAGGACAAAGGTAGACAAACACAGGTATCCTTGGTTTGGGAGATGTTGCTATAGCTCGGCCAATAGGGTCTTCTTCTTTATACAGATGCTAACACTCTCTATCAGTCCCTGGGGAGACAGGAAGGCTGAGTAGAAAACCATCTTTTCTTTCTGTTTCTAGCCCTGGACTTGACTTCTTAGAGAAAAAATATTATAATAAGCTAGTGTTTTAGGTTGAATTCCCTTGTAAAGACTCTGAGATAGAAAACTGCATGTGGAAGTTTTATTGGGGCACGTTCTCAGGAGATGAGCCTGTCAAAAGAAAGGCAAGACTGGGGATGGAAAAATGCAAATCCTCAGTGTGGTTGCAGCTGTAGCCTCAGCTGATGCTACAGGGAGTGCTGGAGTTTGCATGGATCCTCGGAGTTGTCCAAAACTGAGGAGAGGGACCAGGCCTTTGCATATTTGCACCAGCACATCATTGGCCATGGGCTACAGCTGAGGACAATGCCCAGTGTGAGTCACATCTGCTGCAGGAAATGCTGTATTGGCCCTGAAGAAGGGACCTGGGTGTGGCATCTTATCTCAGCCCTTTATCCATATGGACACTGAAAAAGCAAGTATTTGGAGAAAGTGTAGTTTCCAGAGACATGTTTTGTTCCATAGGTAGTCACTCATCCTTTCAAAACCATCGAGCTACAGATGAAGAAGAAGGGATTCAAGATGGAGGTGGGACAATACATTTTTGTCAAGTGCCCCAAGGTGTCCAACCTGGAGTGGCACCCTTTCACACTGACCTCTGCCCCTGAGGAAGACTTCTTTAGCATCCACATCCGCATTGTTGGGGACTGGACGGAGGGACTGTTTAATGCTTGTGGCTGCGATAAGCAGGAGTTTCAAGATGCCTGGAAGCTACCTAAGTGAGTATAAAGTGCATATTACAAAGGTGTATGAGTTCAGGAAAAATGACACTGAATAGCTCCTTTCCTTCCTTCTCTCACTATCTCCTGAATCTGACAAAACACACAGGTTCTACCAATATAGGTAGCTACCTCTTTGTTCCCCATCTTACGTGTGTGGTGTGTTTGGGCATGTATTTATAAATCCTATGTGAAGTGTAAAATATTTGAATAAAATATTAATAATGAACATTCCAAAATTCCTTTCAATATTTATAGATCAAGGGCAAGGTCTATTAATTTTTCTAACAAACTTATAGTGTGTTAAAGATATTCTTAAAACTTAGTTGGCATGTGTTATTTGAGCATAAATACCATATGTCATTCACTTTACCTCCTTCTTCCCACATGCTTAACATGGTGTCAGGAACTTAGTGGATGCTGAAGCAAAGTTTGTTGAATAACTCAGTGAATAGACAGATGAAAATTGGACATATTAAATCTACAAGATGTTACAATACAGAAATGTATTACTTTACTTCAATGTGCAATATAAGCAGAAATTTCAAGTGTGGGATGCTCTGACAAGAAATACAGATGTGTGTGTGTGTGTGTGTGTGTGTGTGTGTGTGTGTGTGTGTGTGTGTGTGTGTTGTGGGTGAAGGAGGATGGGGAAATATACAAAATACCCCTGAGAGTTACCAAATGTTTTCAATAAGCTAACAATTCCTATTCATACCTCCAACCCCAATGTTAACACTAAGTTGGTTACTTGAAAACTGTTTCACAGAAGAAAGTGCCCCATAGATAACTTGTCTTGGTTTGAAGTGGCATGCTGCACACCCCTAGGAATAATGTGTGCGTTATCCCACTCTGAAAAGTAAGATATGTCTGTAACCACCTCCTCTCATGCTTCCTTTCAGGATAGCGGTTGATGGGCCCTTTGGCACAGCCAGTGAAGATGTGTTCAGCTATGAGGTGGTGATGTTAGTAGGAGCGGGGATTGGGGTCACACCCTTTGCATCTATTCTCAAGTCAGTCTGGTACAAATATTGCAATAACGCCACCAATCTGAAGCTCAGAAAGGTAAGTTCCTTCATTCTTCAGAGGGCTTGAAGCATCCATCACACTCTGCCAAGTGAAGCCTGAGAGAGCCTTTGTGGCTGAGGGTGGCAGAGACCAAGGGAAGTGTAGGCAGGACCGGGACGGTTCTAGAGCGGGAGGATTCTCTTAAAAAGGTGATTTGAGAAGTTAAATGTGCTTCTACATAAGCAGGACCATCAGTAGTTGTAATATACTGTATTTGTACATTACTATATAGAATAGCACATTACAAGAAATTTGGAAGAAAGAAAGTTGGGGTAGAGAGAATCCAATACCTATCCTTGTTTGTATATTCTCTTTCCATATTTTCCCACATATGTACATATTTTTAGAAAGTTGTAAATATTGAGGGTGTGCAATTTCATGTCCTGCTTTTCTAAGAAGAGTGTTTTTCAGTGTTGTCACATGCTTTATAATAACCATTTCAATTATTCCTTCGTGTTCCATTGAGAGGATATAGAATAACTTTTCTATGATCCTAGGTTAGAAATCAAGATGGATTTCATTTTCAGTCCTCCAATACTTTTGTTGTAGGAGAAGGGCAGGAGATATGCCTTTCATGTAGCTTACTTTCTTATAGATATCTCTTCAGAATAAATTCCCAGATGATTTTTTTTGTCCCATGAAAATTTGGTTTCATTGTCTGATAAAGGACATCTTTAACAAAACTTGAGACATTCTAATAACTCTAGAGATTACCTCTAATATGAACACTAAGATTACCATGACTTTTCATTCTCTTCTTTAACTACTTTTCTCCCTAGAAACTCAGGAATTTATGGCAGCGGCAGGCAAGGAAATAGTCCTATGGCAGACACTGCTAGTCTAGATTCCAGTGGTCTTTCTGAGAGGAGATACAAAGGAAGCCAGGGGTTCTGAGAGGGCAATAAAAGACCCAGAGAGAAAGTGGTGGGCTAATTTTTTCCTTAAACAATGTATTTTTTTTAGATCAAGCTGTTCACTTCCTGACTTGCCAATGTGAAAGTAGGAGCAGGTTCATGTAAACTAGCTGTTGAATGTCTAGAACTTTCTGAACACTTGTTTTTAGACCTTCTGAGCAGCAAGAAAAAGTTGCGGGGAGGAAAGATATCCGTGTGTCAATGCTGACAGATCCTATTTAAATATAATGTGCTTTATGATCCATCCTCTTTCAGATCTACTTCTACTGGCTGTGCCGGGACACACATGCCTTTGAGTGGTTTGCGGACTTGCTTCAGCTGCTGGAGACCCAGATGCAGGAGAGGAACAATGCTGATTTCCTCAGCTATAACATCTACCTCACCGGCTGGGATGAGTCACAGGTAAGTATAAGAGCCCAAATTTCAGGTCCTTCCCACAGTGTACTTACTTTCCCTTGGCTACTGGAGAGTTTTGTGCATTGTTTTTACTAAGAACAGTTGATAGATTCCAGTGATTCAACCCATTCACCTCTCAATATCCCCACACATTCAGATGGTTGAGATTAGATTTAAAGTTGGTATCTGTGGAACAGATCAAAGCTAAGGAGCCAACAATGAACAAAAGCCATAACTTTGACCTTATTAGTGTAATGCCCCCACCAGGGGTGTTAAACACATATGCATGCATATACTGATTATCCCTTTCGTTTTATGGTTATGCATATTTTGTAATATACACAATACAATTTAAAAGTAGTATTAAATAGTATTAAGTTGCTCAGAGTTATTAAGCATATACTGTTTGCTAGGTGTTGTTCTTGGTATTTATATAGTTTGTCTAATTCAATCCTTACAACAACCCTATGAAGTAACCATTTTTATTAACCACATTTTATGGACGAGGAAACCAAAGCCCAGAGCAAGTTAGGTCATTTGTCCCAAGGGCATCCAATTAATAATTAGCAGAGTCAGAATGCTCCAGAGCGAGACTCCCAGTAGATAACTATTATTTGGAAATAAATCAAAATATGTCTAAAAAGGGTGATATATAGTACATACGTATGTGTGTATGTTATGTGTATATATATCCCATCTCTCCAGAGATATTTAGCAATGTAAACATCCTACAATTCAAAAAACAACCCCCCGACAACAAAGAATGCTCTAGCTTTGCATGACTCAGAAACTCTGAAACAAGTTAATTCCAATTTATAAATAAGTAAACATTAATGACTTGCATGGAAGCAGCATAAGCTGGTACTCTGAGAGAACTACAGCAAGAGTCTCTGCCTATTCCTGACCAGTGTCTCAGTGGCTCCTCAGTCCTGGACATCTTCCCCATGCATTTCACATCTGTGGAAACTGACTTTTTCTCATTTAGGTTTTGGCATATTGGTTAGCATAGATTCTTCAAGTCTTAGAAGAGTATTGTAGCAAATGTGCCAGGGACACATGACCATGAAAATTGCTACTCCAGAAAACTGATTTCAAGATGCAACTTCTGCAATTTAAAGAAAAAACAACCAAAAATATTTGATAAAAATGAAACCCAGAAAATATGTCTGTAAAATACAAATTGCTTTGCAGTTTTATTATTTAAAAAGCCAGATAGTTAGTAGGAAATATATTTATATTAAAAATAAGCATTTTGCTTTGCAAAACTAGTTTTTACAGGATTGTTAACCCAGAGTAACCACCCTTCTTAAGCTCATCATCTCCTGTCCAATGGATTTAAAATCTGACTTAATTTTTGAATAAATTTAATTAACCTCTTTATGAAAAGTATCTGTTGTTCAAATTGAGGCTCCCTAGAAAGGTAACAGAAATCAATAGGTGACTATACACACACACACACACACACACACACACACACACACACACAGAGACTAGTTTTAGGCTTGATTTGACCTTTCTTTATGTTACCAAAATTGTGAGTGCACTTTAGTCTATGGTTGTTTTCATTCTTAGTGATTCTCCTAAAGGAGTGGGAGTGGGGGTATATTTGTGAGAAGAGGGAAAGTTGTAGAGCAGATGAGATGTAGAGCCGAGAGAGAAGCAAGTGAGACAGAGGATTAAATCCTACCCACACTTCAAAGCCTCGATCAAAGGTGGCCACACTGAAACTTTCCCTTCCCATCTCCTTCCACCCACACTCCCTTCTTTACTCTCATTGAGATGTTTGTGTCTCTTCCATGGCACTCATCATATCCTGTTCTAGAAATATGATTATTCATGTCGTGACTTCCAGGTCTGCCCTTCTACATCATAAATTGCATGAGGAGACCTAGTTCATTTATCTTTTTTTATCTTCTATCTTTCAGCATGCCTTGCCCCAAATGTATATATATGGTTAGAATAGGTAGTGAGATATGTAAATATATCTATGTGTTTTTATAGTGTGTCTCTTTTTTTCCCTGAATTTATCTACTTTCCTGTAGGCCAGTCACTTTGCTGTGCACCATGACGAGGAGAAAGACGTCATCACAGGCTTGAAACAAAAGACTTTGTATGGACGGCCCAACTGGGATAATGAGTTCAAGACAATTGCAAGCCAACATCCAAAGTAAGGCATCTTCCACTTCAAGGTGTTCTTGACGCTTGTGGTCTGCTTAAAAGCAATAGCTCCTAAACATGGCTAGATTTGTATATTCTGAAAATGAAAATACCTAGATTCCTGTATTTACACCCAATGGAATGGTCTACATATCTCTGACTTCAAGAGGAGTCTTTTAATCACTTCAAAATTACCTGGAGAGTTATTAGAAACAAAGATTCTCAGGCCCTCACCTCAGACTTTCTGAATCCTGCTCCTCCCAAGTAGGACCATAACTCAGTTCTTTCTTTCACCTTCTAAATTTCACGAGTGTATCTATTCTTTTAATTCAATACAATTTATACTTGTTATTAAGGAGACACTGTCCCCACTTTCAGTTGACAGACATCCCTAGGTCTGTTCTGCCCTCACTTAAGCTTTAGCCATCAGGAAACTTTGAGTGGACCCTTTATCTTGCTAGAATACATGATAAACTCAAGAAATCTCCACAAATGTACTCTTTAGGCCATTGCTTCTTACCCTTAAATGAGCACATGAATCACTTTGGGGATTTCTTGATCTGGGGATCAGTTTTCAAAATGCAGCACTGATTTCAGTAGGTATGGGGTGAGGCCCAAGAATCTTCACTATTAATTGGCCTGGACCCACACCTTGAGAAGCAGGGCTTCAGACTCTAAAATGTAAGGGGATGAAGCCACACCAAGCTGTGGGCAGAGCTGGTACACCTAAAGCAGATTTGTTCCTGATTTCAGGTTGCCAGGAGGGTTGGCAGGACACAACCTTGCAAGGAAGTAGCCCACAGACTCAGAAATTCACCACCATATTTTCTTTGGTAGAAGTTTCCATACACCTTGCTTGAACATAGTTTTCCAGGGAAGTGAATTGCCGTTTGAAGTGTCCTGCTGCCCTCTGAGCAGCTCTCCCACAGGGCAATCTGAACTCAGCCATTTGTGGGAAAGACAAAGGAGCAGAGGGTTCTTTGCCCTGGGGCCTAAAATCAGTTGGAAATCCCCCCTATGTGCTATATAATCTATGGCATATCAAAGCCTGAAACTCTCTTTTCTTTCTTTCTTTTTTCCCAAAAGTACCAGAATAGGAGTTTTCCTCTGCGGACCTGAAGCCTTGGCTGAAACCCTCAGTAAAAAAAGCATCTCCAACTCTGATTCTGGCCCACGGGGAGTGCATTTTATTTTCAATAAGGAAAACTTCTAATTGGTTTCTATCATGAGGAAGTAAATGTGACTTATGCTGCCAAGTGCCCAAATAAGGCTAGTTGATAATGTAAGTTCCCCCCTTTAAAAAAATGGAGAAAAAGAAACTCAAATGTGAAGGTTTTCCTAAGGAATGTCAGATATTTGATAGTCAAAATTTGCATTTGAATGGGGCTTTATGGTTTTCAGAGCACTTTTACAAACATTATTTCATTTTTTCCTATCAGTCATGCCAGAGAAAGGCAGGGCAAGTATTCCCAGACTCAGTTTTCAGGATTAAAAAAAAATGGGGACTTAAAATGGTGAAGTAACTTCCCAAAGGCTATGAAGCTGAGATACATGTAGGCCATCTGATTCCAGGTTTGGTAGTGTTCCCACAATACCAGGCGGCCTGGAAATGATCTTGTATACTCCTCAAAAGAAGAAACCAACCAGAGAGTATTCATTTTCCATTTTCTATCATCTTTATTCTCTATATTGTCAGAGGGAAGGAAATTTTCCAAATAGTTAAGATATATGTATATCTGAGAGTGAGTCAACACTTAATAGTGACAGGATTGACATTTTGAGCATACTCCAGTTTACCAATAAACTAGTACACTTTGGTATTGGTAAACATACTTCAGTTTACCAATACATCATATGAATTGTGTCAGAGGTTCTTCTTACAAAAGACTATTAGACTAACTGGAATTAATGTATTATCTAACATTTACAGTCATGCTTAGCAGAGAATGTATACTCAATAAAAATTTGTTGAATGAATGCATGAAAAGACATTTAGAACCATACAATGCCAGGATAGATTTAATTTAAAGCCTTTAACAGAATTATGTAAGGAAATAACTCCTGTTAAACTTATAAGCCAAAGGCACCTGATGCTCCTGAGGGTAGGGAACTGGCTAAAGATAGTAACAAATAGGATTCCCTGGAGAAGAGGGAGATGCAGGCAGAGAGCTGACCTCCTACCATAACTCTGGCTGGCTCCTCCAGTCTTGGTCTCTGTGCTATGAAAGAAATGCAAACTGATTAGTACCTGAAAGGGTCTCCTCCAGTTAGCACTTGTGAATTTACAACTAGGAATTGTGATAAATATATTATCTGATATGCCCATCTGCTTTAAATCATCCCCCCTTGTTCTACTTAAATACTCATGCATGAAAATTGGATCTTACTCTGTGACTAATGGGTTATTGTTTTATCATCATCATCATCATGAAATTTATATCTTAGAAAGTAAAATTCCCAGCTTACTGTGTATTGAAATCACACTCCATAGAATATTCTCGATAGAGAATCACACTCCATAGAATATTATCTATGTGTTCAAAAGAGAGTCTCTAAATCACTGTCAACATGACCAGAAACAGTCTTCTTTTTCTTATTACTGCTCTTTTTCTTGGGGGGGGGGAACTAACAGCAGCTTTATTGACCCAACTTCTGGAGCCACAGATATTTAGAATTCTTCAACTTCAGTAATGAGGAAGAAAGAGAAGAAACAGAGGGAAGGGCAGAAGACTGGTTTTGGAAGAAAGGGGCAGGAACGAGGAAAGAAAATAAAGAAGAATGAGAGAAAGCTCAAAAGGTCAAAGCTTAGCGTAGGGAAAAGGGGTCTCATGTTGCTCAGTTTCTACCCCAGACTTAAAGTCTTGTATATATTGAATGTAACTGAAGGAGGCATACATTTATTCATTTTATTTTGATTACATATGATATTGAATCTGAATTTCTGGTCACAAAATTTTGATGCTGAGTGGGCATATTCAGAAGACTGAGATGAACTAGTAAGAACCTAGTTTTTCTTTTGGGTTCTCACAATGGCCAGGGCACTGACAACTCAGGCTTGCTGCTGGATGTCACCTCCCCAAAATGTACCTGGAAGGTTTCCACTTAGAGAAACATAGGTCCAGCCTGTTCACACAGCATGTCAAGTTTCAATTCATTCATTTAACAAGTTTTTATTGAGCTATTGCAATGACTGGGTCTGTATTCTGAGTGTTGGTTCTTGACATTGGGCAAAGTTGGAAGCACAGTTATAAGGAGTCTGGGAAACTTGGCCCTCATTAACCTATTTTGTCATAAATAAAACCACTCTTTTTGTTGTTCTGAAAATGTTTCTCCCTTTGACACCAGCAAAGGGTTCTCTCCCTTTGACACCAATATGGCTACCAAAATAAATAGATCTATTCTGTGTCATCCTGGTTATAATATGAAAAAAAAAATGAGTGTAAAAGTGCTTGCCATTTTGAGAACTTCCTTCTTCATGCTTCTTCCAAACTGCTAGCACAGCTTTTTTAGCATTTAGAGTTTAGCATTTAGTAACAAGAACTGAGAGAATTGAGTAAGCATTTGTTTTAATCGCAAGGCTCTAAAGGCTTTTCTTAGTTCTCCTGCTTTTGCAATATTGCGTTTATGAAATTTGAATACTTGTAGGTGTGGCATGTAAATGTCCTGGGGGTCCCTGAGAGATAATTCTCAGGAGGAACTATGAAACCTGTGTTCAACTATTAAAATTAATGAGCTCTTTTGGTGTCTGTGTTGTTGATCTTTGCATTAAAGGGTGGGTTCAGATAGCAAAGATTTTTTTTCTGCCTCAGTGGAATTAAGATTCCCTGTATTTTTGTATATGACATGCCAAACACTGCACAATTTATGGATTGGGAAGGGAAAACTGAATCCTGAGTACTGTGCTAATGTCCTGGTGACCCTCACATCACTGGTATAAAGGACAAGGAAGTATCATGTCACACCATGGACAGAATTTCATAGGCAAAAAGCCCTAACATAAGACCTCTTTATTTTTCATTTTCACTTGGGTTCTAACTATGTAATTATGTGTTATCAAATCAGATTGTGAATATATATGCATGTTTGACTCATTTCCTATACACTCAGGTTTGTATTGGCCATGATTCTAAATGAGTCAACCAGTTACAGTCCCCAGTGTATAGGAAATGGGTAGAGGCATAGGCATATCCTCCTGTGGGAGTCAGCAACTGCTGTCACGTTGGCAAAGGACATTACCTGAAACAAGTGTCAATAATAGAAATAGCTAACATTTAGTAAACACATTCTACTATGCCAAACATTTTACATACACTTCAGCTAATCCTGCATGACACTGCAAGGTAGCTATTTTATCTCAATCATGTTGATTTAAAAAATAACTGAGGTTGAGGGAGGATAAATGTTAGGCACAAACTATCCCACAACTACTGGGTAACTGTGTCAAGTTAAATCCACATCTTTCTGCAAAAAGTCCATGTTCTTTACACTGCACTAGTAGATTAGAGAAAGTATAAGTAATGGAGGATATTTTCAAAGGTATTGTGCTAGGTACAGATTATATACTAAGAATAGCTGGATATAAGTGGTGGCATAAATCACTGACTTAGGCTATCTAAGTATCATGATGTCTTAGTGTAGAAACACTGATTAGTCCTGGCTGGTGTGGCTCAGTGGATTGGGTGCCAGATTGCAAACCAAAGGGTCACCAGTTTGATTCCCAGTCAGGGCACACGCCTGGGTTGCAGGCCGGATCCCCAGTGTGGGGCACATGAGAGGCAACCACACATTAATGTTTCCCTCCCTCTCTTTCTCCCTCTTTTCACTTCTCTAAAAATAAATAAATGAAATCTTTAAAAAAAGAAAGTAATCCTTTCTTGCTTTAAAAAAAAACACTGATTAACCCAATTCATGCTAATTTTTAATTTGTTTATTTTTATTTTTTCCAGCTCTACTGAGATATAGCTGACAAATAAAATTGTAAGATAGCTAAAGCATACAACATGATAATTCACCAAGTAATGGTTTTTCTAAACAACAATAACTTTCACCTATATAATAACTACAATGCAATGAACCAGCCCAAGGAATTAAACACTGATACAAACTATCATTTAGTATACAGTCATGTATAGGTGACACTGTATCCTTACTGCATTGCATTAGGAGGTAGGTATTGTCAGTTTGCCCTGTTATTGGTGGCATAAAGTTTAATCACCAAATTTCTCAGTTATGAATGTAAGGTATTATTTTACTTTTGTAACTAGTGAGTAACATTTGGAAAAATTTTGTGACCACATACATATCATTTTCTGCAATAGGCTTACACCCAGTTATTTTAGCATATAAAATCATATCATCTGCAAACAAAGACAATTTTACTTTTTGCTTTTTTGACTTATGCCTCTTACTTCTTCTTCTTGCTCAATTGCTCTCACTAGAACTTCCACTACTATGTTGAATAGGAGTCATGAGAGTGAACAACCTTGTTTCATTTCTGATCTTGAAGGAAAAGTTTACAAATTTTCACCATTTAATATGATGTTAGTTGTGGGCTTGTCATATATGGCCATTATTATGTTAATGTATGTTTCTTCTATGTCCGTTTTGTTGAGTATTTTTATCGTGAAATGACGTATTTTATCACATGTTTTTTCTGCATATATTGAGATAGTCATATGATTTTTGTCATTCCTTCAATTAATATGGTATATCACATTTATGGATTTGTGTATGTTGAACCATCCTTGCATCCCAGGGATAAATCCTACTGAATCACAGTGTATATAATCTTTTTACTGTGCTGTTCAATTTGATTTGCTAGGGTTTTGTTGGGAATTTTTGCATGTATATTCATCAGGGATATTAGCTTGTATTTTCTTTTCTTGTAGTATCCTTATCTGGTTTTGAAATCAGGAAAGTGCTAACCTTGTAAAATGAATTTGGGAGTGTTCTTTCCTTTTCAATTTTTGGAAAAGTTTGAGAAGGACTGGCATTAATTCTTGTTTAAATGTTTGGTGGAATTCACCAGCGAAACCAACTGGTCCTGGGGTTTTCTGCATTGGGAGGTTTTTGGTTACTGATTCAATCTCCTGTTCTTTTTTTGATCTCTTCAAATTTTCTGTTTTCTTCATGATTTACTCTTGGTAGGTTATATGTTTCTAGGAATTTATCCATTTCGTCTAAGTTATCCAGTTTGTTGGCATATCATGGTCCTTTGTATTTCTGTGGCATCAGTTGTAATCTCTTTTATTTCTGATTATTTTTTTAAATGCTGTCTCTTTTTTTCTGAGTTCCTGCTAAAGGTTTGTCAATTTCATTTATATTTACCAAAAACAAAAACAAAAACAAACTAGTTCTTAGTTTCACTGATTTTTTTTCTGGTCTCTAATTTATTTCTGCTCTGATCTTTGTTATTTCTTTCCTCCTGTTAACTTTGGGCTTAGTTCAGTCTTTTTTTTCTAGTTCTTTGAGATGTAAAGTGAAGTTATTTGAGTTGTTTCTTAATATCTGCATTTATCACAATAAATTTCCCTCTTAGAACTGCTTTTGTAGCAGCCCATAGATTTTTGACATGCTCTGCTTCATTTTTGTTTGTTTTGAGATAATTTTTATTTTCCTTTGGATTTCCTTTTTTGACCCATTGGTTGTTCAAGAGCATGTTGTTTAATCTCTGTACATTTGTGAATTTTCCAGTTTCCTCCTGTTATTGACTTCTGCTTTCATGTCTTTATAGTCAGAAAAGATACTTACGATTTCAGTCCTCTTAAATTTGCTAAGACCTGTTTTGTAACCTATTTTTTTTTTTCCTATGCTGGAGAATATTCTGAGTGTACTTGAGAAGGATGTGTATTGTGCTACTGTTGGATGGAATGTTCTGTATATGTCTGTTATTTTCATTTGGTGTAAAATATAGTTCAAGTTTAATGTTTCTTTGTTGATTTTCTGTCTGGATGATCTATCCATTGTTGACAGAAGGATATTGCATTTCCAAATATATTATTTTACTGCTGTTTATTTCTCCCTTCAGATCTGTTAGTACATGCTTAATATATTTAGGGGATCCAATGTTCAGTGCATGTATATTTATTTTATTATATTTTCTGGACTAATTGACCCCCTATCACTTTTAATGATCTTTTTTGTCTCTTATTACCATTTTTGGCTTATTGTCTACTTTGTCTGATGCAAGTATAGCTAACCCTATTGTCTTTTGGTTTTTATTTGCATAGCATATCTTTTTTCATCCCTTAACTTTGAGTCTATGTTTATCCTTAAAGCTGAAGTGAGTCTCCTATAGGCAGCATTTAATTGAGCCTTGGTTTGTTTTTTTAAAATCCATCCACCCACTGTATGCCTTTTGATTGACAAAGTCAATCCATTAACATTTAGAGATATTGATAAGTAAGGACTTACTGTTGCCATCTTTTAAATTGTTTCCTGACCATTATGTAGTTCCATCTTTCTTTTCTTCCTTTCTTGCTTCCTTCCTTTGTAAAGAGATGATTTGCCATAGTGGTATGCTTTAATTCTGTTCTCTTTATCTTTTATGTATGTATGTATATTTTTGCATTGTGGTGCTCATGAAGCTTACATAAAACATCATATACATATGATATTTTAACTCACTGCTTCTGTCTTCTGGTTGCTTAGGTCTGTTGTTGAAGCTTTCTATTGGGTTCTTTAGTTCATTCATTGTCTTCTTCAGCTCCAAAAGTCCTGTTTGATTGTTTTCATTTTTTCTATATCTTTGCTGAACTTCTAATTTAGTTCTTGTATTGTTTTCTTAACATCATTAAATTATTTATCCATGTTCTCTTATAGCTCTCTGAACATTTGTAAAACAATTATTTTGAATTCTTTGTTGGGTAATTCCTGGATCTCCATTTCTTTGCGGCCAGATACTGAAGTTTTACTGTATTTCTTTGATGGAGACATGTTTCCCTCATTCTTTATGATTCCTGAAACCATGCATAGGGGTCTGCACATTTGAAGAACCGATCTCCTCTTCCAGATTTTATGGACTGAGTTCACTAAAGGAAGCCTTTCATCTGAGGGTGGTGACACACTAGATCGTGTTGTAACCGTGGGTCTAGTGTTTCAGGGTGCCAAGTGTGGTGGTATGTGGCAGCACCAGGTGTGAGGAAGTTTGATGTCTCTTCAGCTCATGCCCCTGGGGTCCATAGTATCAAAACTTGCGTGGTCCTTGGTGAGCAAAACAGGGAGTCTGCAGTGACTGCAGGAGCTGTTGGAATCTTAAATGGAACCTCTAGCTCTATTAGCTGGGGATCACAGTAGGCAGTGGTGGTGGCCAGAGCTGGTGGTACACACACACTTGGCTGTAGGGGGCCAGCTCCAAGTACCTATATAATGGGGCCAGTTGCAGACATCCTCATAGTCATGAGGGCCAGGGCAGATAACAAGGCCAGGAACAACTATAGGCTCACTAGCAGCTGCAGAGGACCTGATTATTGACATGTTTTCCTGTGGCTGCACATTTTCACTCTGGACTAGCACACTGTAGTGGAGGCTGTTGGTAGGTTGGAACTAAGAGTGTGCAGGTACAAAGCTGGAGGGGCTAGCTATCGGTGGGCATGGTGGTGCCAGCCAGTGACAAGGCAGGGCCTGAAATGGACCTACAAGCAGCTGTGGGGGCCCTGGTTGTTGGGGCACTCATCCACGGCTGTACGCTCTTCCAGGTGCTTGTGGGTTGCAGTG